GGAGTCGCGGCAGTAGAGGCGGCGCAACTATAACGACATGTGAATAATCCCGCCCACTCTAAAGCGATACTAAACTGCAGTGGAAACGCAAACCGAGCCGAACCGAGCCGAGCCGTACCGTACTGAGCCGTACCGAGCCGAGTCGTACCACGCAGTGGAAAAGCGCCATTAGAAACACTGAAAGTCAACGAGAAGTTCCTAATTTTATATAAAACAACACTATATTAAATAAAAATTCAATTTCTTCAAAGAGAGTTCCGAAGACTGCAACATTGCTTCCACAGAACATAGTTATTGCTCAGCTGGTGTCTCAGTTGTCTCAGCTGGTGATATCTTTCTTAATTAAGCATCATTGCTTGAGGTATGCCAGAGCTCAACCTTGTTTTCCTTTCTATGGTGACACACAGGACAGCATGGATGAGTGCCAGACAGATAAGAGTGAAGAGGAATGTGGCAGTGAAGAGCCTGAGGATAATGAAGAGGAGGGAGAGCAACAAAACTGGGGGCTCAGAACAGGGGGTGATGGGGAGAAAGAAGCTAGGTCAAGCAAGTGGAATTTTGTGGACTTGTCCCGATTAGATTGCAAGAGGAATGGCAACATCGGTCAAAAACCTAAAGGCATCCATAAAAGTGCCCTTCATCATCACGTTACAGAGAGGCCAAGTGGTAATCCCACTGATATTGTAAAGACCTTGGAAAACATCTTGAGTAACGACACCTCCTTGAGTGAAGTCAACCTAAACAACATTGAGAACATATCCCAAGAGGTTTTGGTGAGCTTTGCTGAAGCATTAATTACTAACACTCACGTTGAGGTTTTTAGCCTTGCCAACACCCATGCGGATGATCAAGTAGCTTTTGCCTTGGCCAAAATGCTGAAGAAGAACTGCAGCATCACCAACCTTAATGTTGAGTCCAACTTCATTTCAGGCAAAGGTATTCTGGCTTTGATTGGGTCACTTCAGTACAACACAACACTAGTGGAGCTCCGATTCCACAACCAGCGGCACATCTGTGGAGGCCAAGTAGAGATGGAAATGGTGAAATTGCTAAGGGACAACACCACCCTGTTGAAACTGGGATACCACTTTGACTTACCTGGCCCAAGGATGAGCGCAACCGGTATTTTAACCCGCAACCAGGACCGGCAGAGGCAAATGCGGCTGCAACAAAGGAAAGAACAAGATGATCTAGAAAGAAGTGAGGAGCAATCAAAGACATGTGACACTGTGGACAATACGCAGTCCCTTCAGTTCCAGATTTCAACAGATAAAGATGCTACACAAGGGAAGCAGCCCTCGGTCTCTTCTCATTCACCAAAACAACCTCACAGTCAACCAAAAGTTGTGAACAATGTTCCAACTAGAAAAATCGCTGAAATGGTCAAGCAACAACAAGAAACAGCAATAGAAAGTTTTGAGACTAATGCAAATAAAGGACACAAACTCACAGGGGACAAACATACCAAGAACATTTTTCAAAATGAAAAACCAGTACCTTTGAGAAGAGAAGATGAAAGAAAGAGTCTGGGAGGCACCCAGGGGTCAATGCGTGATGATTTACTGGCAGCTATTCGTAGAAGCAGCATTGGTACACTACGAAGGGTAAGACCTTTAGAATTTGTCCAAGACATAAAGTAGGAAAGCCTTAAAAACACAGTGCCCAAATTTGTAATTTACTCAAACAATATTACTGGACAGGATAGGAACTTCTGAACTAAGGGTTTGGTAAACACCAACCATGCCAAATCAGGTCTCCTGGGAATCGATTGTAAGACTTTAAGCAATAATTACCTTTTTATACCAAGAACTGAATTATTCATTCAGTGGTTGTTTTGACTGAGATCATTTAAGTTACCATGAAATCATTATCTAGTGGAAAACGCATAAATTCTAGTTCAAATTTAATAGATGGAAAGTTTAGTTTTGCCGCACTAACAATGATGTCGCCAAGTTGTACTTGCCATTAAGAGTAAAAACATGCTTTTATTTGAAGGCTTCAAAAAGCATTCATAATTTCAAGTTCTCAATAAAAGTAAATAATTTTAAAGGGATAGACGATGCAAAAATTTTTTTTACTCATGCTCATGCCATTTCATACCTGACATGCACACATATATGTGGGTGAACAATCCTGTTTTAATCTTGAGACATTAGTATCCTTTGTGGCTATTACTTAATGCTTCTGCCATGTATAATACATACAATATATGTGGCAGTTTTAACATTACATTGACTAGC